GCTTACATATATATTACTGGCTATCACATTTCTGGTGTGAAAAAATAAGAAGAAATAAAAACCCTACTGCATGTTGCCTTTGACATTATTTGTGAGTGTAGTGTATAAACACTCCTAGGGTTCCTAGTTAGCATGGGCAATTAAATTCAAAACTGGCCAAATCCCTCTTTCAATCCTGATCTTGATCGAAACCCCATTGCATATTGCTCATCTGCATGTCTAGTGAGGAGATTGAATTAGAAGCCTCTCCATCTCCATAGCTGCCGTACATGTCATTTAGTACTTCCGGAATCATGAAATTTCGGTCACCCTCAAAAGAATTCGAATTCTTGTTTTCGGAGTAAAATGGCAGCATTGAATCATTAATGTTGTTGAGGTTCATACTTTGTGGCATAAATATGTTTGAACTTTCCGACTGAGGCCAACTCTGCACATTAATATTGTACTTCTCAATTGGGTTCGCACTGGAAAAGCCTTTAGCTGCTTGTTCCTTGACAGAAGCTAGTTGTGCTTGTAAACTAATAACCTGCAAAGCAGTTAAATTTATGAGTTAATCATCATCTGTTGAGATTAACGAAATAAAAGTTAATTAGGGAATGTTAAGTATTTCAATGATTAACTAGGATTAATTATAACCTGCTGTTGGAGAGCAAAAATATGGGAAACACAGCCATAAATAGGGTCTTGAACCCTGGCTTGAGCTTCATATGAAATTGTGAGTGCAGCTCTGCATCGATCGCTCACCGGAAGTTGAGAAAGCAACTTCGACACGTTGCTTGCCCCAAAAACCTTGTGGATCGCGGCGAAATGCGTGGCACCCTGTTCATGGCAGAAATAAGGTGCAAAAATGCAACCCCTAATACATTTTCTTCTCAAGAACTTGCAAGCTCCACAAGGAGAACCAGAACCTGTCATATTGATGTTTAAGAGTTTAATTTGGAGTGGTTTATGGCTTTGAAATTAATATATGGTTTTATCTGTGCTATGTGCATAGCATCACTCCAGGCTTATAAATATTGCCAGGCCTAGAGTTAGAGTGTGGGGGCAGAGTTAATCATATTACAATGAATACTTAATTAGAATAGGTTCCCTTTATGGGCTACAGGGTTTCACTACTATTCTTTCTTTTCCAATAGTCTACTAAATTTTCATGCTCTCAAATGAGATTCCTTAAAAGACAAAATAGCCTATCAGATATCACAAACCAAACCCATATCTCCATTATTTCCTTTGATATTTGGATCCATTGTAATTTTTCTTTGTTGCTTCTTTTCTGGATGTATTAATTCCAATATATATGTGCTCTTACTATAGCTAATTTGCTGCTAAAATAAGCGGTAACTGGTGATTATACTTTACTGAGAGGAGGTAATGTTGAAACCAGAGCAACTCTGTCTAGATGCATATTCCTCCAGGGTTTTCTTAATTCCACAAAACATATACAGATTTTCTCCTATGCGGACGTATTACCATACAGACATTATGTATTTTCTACTATTCCTCTCTACTTTCCTCCCTATTGAGACATCCACATTTATTACAGGCCAAATAAGATGTATGTATATGAAGTCATTATTTATTTTTTTATGAAACAAAATTGAGACATATAACGTGCAAGATTGAGTCAGTGACAGGCTAAATTGCATAAAATATTATTACATACATGAAATAGAAAAGCTGGCAATGGGTGTGTGGGATGCCATTGAACAATTGATGAAGCATCACACTATTTCATCTTTCTCTGTATACAGATTGTACATGAACCTGATCATCCAGGTATGTTACTCCAGAACATTGATAAGCACTTAACTAAAACAGTCAATCTCAAAATATGGTGTAAACTAAGTTACTTTTTATATAGTTATCGCTATTGGATAATGTTAGTCTAACATGTTACATTTAGTAAATTGTTAATTAAGACCGGTATGTAATTTATAAATGTATGGTCCTTCCTAATTGACAGTTTGACTACATATAACATCGACAAGTTCTTGGGTCATCCTAACAGTTTCACGTGGTGCTACTAATCCACATGTTATAATACAGTAGAAGATATAACATTTGAGAATGAGAACATTGGTATCTCCATTAATGATTCAGGTATGTGTGACAACTCAATCTGCCAACTACACATGGATACTAAAGCTGACAAAGATCAATACCAATAAAAAGAGGTGAACATTTGTAACCCTTGATCTGTTCTTAAGGCTATCGAACTCCACTCAGTGTAAATTATGGAAGCAGGCAAGATATGTTTGAGTTTTTAAATAGGAAAGCAACGGACAGATCATTCAATAAACAATGCACAGTTGCATAGACCAGACCCACAATGGTCCATTAATGGAGGATCACTGTGAATCCGGATTATAAAAATGAAGATTGTACGTATGGGGTTAATTACAGATAATCAAAGTTTAAAGGAGCCAATAAAGCTACAGAAAAGAAGCATATATTCTTGAAATGAATGAAACAAAAGATAGTGACACTGGAATACAACACTTCAGGAGGTGAGAGGAAGAGGGACAATTTTGCCTTTCTAGTTTTTCAGGTCACGGCTTGTCGAGGAAATTAGTACTGTGCTAATGTCTCATTAGCTCATCTTAATTAAGACTTTGCACAATGGGGAGGCCCCACACCCCAACTCATCTAATATACTAATTATAAATTAATTAAGCTAATCCTTTCATCTAATGGAAAAGATGGGTTTAAACTAAAGTAACCATTTTGTGCAGCACTCTAGGGTTGATGAAACTGAAAGGGTTTTGGACTAAGTTCCAAAAAAGATCGAAAATAAGAAATTATTTGGTATAAACAATTATGTAAAAGGGGTTATTTATAAATTGCAAGTTGGAATCTACACAGTTGAACGTATCAACTGGGGTTTGAGCCTAAACCAGATTGGCTCCAGAGCCATGTGTAATTGTTGGCCACTTAAAAAATATATGCTACTTAATAATGGAGCTGTCCCACTAATAACATCTAAAAGAATATGCATCATTCATAAACTCTTCTGTCTATGTTAATTTATTTGGGCTTTGAAAGGATGCTCTTAGATCAAACCCCTTTTGCACTTCAAAGGTATTTTTAATTCATTAGAGTTTTTCTTTACAATTAGGAGGAAGCAACAAACTTTGAGCAATATGCAAGTCTTCTAATAAAGCCACAAAACTTTGTAGTTCTGTGTACCACTATCTCATTTTCTCTAAGGAGGCCTTGAGGAGGACTTTGTGGTTTTGTTTTCCCTAATCCCTATTTCTTCTCAATATACTTTGATTTCAAGGATTAATCAGTTGGTAATTATGCACATTTCTTCTTCTTTTTTCCTTTTTTTATTTGTTGGGTCACTTGCCTATACCGGGGATACTACAGTGGCGCTATCCCAAGCTAGTCATTCATTGACATGTATTTTAACTTTTTGATATGACAATACGTGATTGGCTTGGGATACCGCCGCAATGACATCCCCATTACATGTTAGTTCTTCTATTTTTCGGTCGTGTAGGATGTGAAAAAAATGATGCTGACAAGTGTCCTATTGACCAGTCAATCCGACACCAAGGTAGCAGAGATGGGGCCAGTGCACGTGTGTGTGGATGATTGCTTAAGTTCTTTGTTTCCAATTTCTTCCTCATCAATGTAGAAGACAATAACAGAACTTGAGCTCATGTCTTTTTCTTTTTTTTTGGGTCAACAACTTCAGCTCATGTCAGTATGTCACGTACGTTCCCCAAATATCTGTAACATGATTGTGCTCCATTCCAAACATAAGAAGATAATGAAATTATAATATATAAAAAATCAAATGTTTAATTAAAAGTAAATTAAGCATGCAATCAGAAATTTCTTTTCCTGTACTGCAGAAGTTCAAACATCAACTTCTGATTAACCTGACGACATGAAAGGCATAAGTAGAATGCTTCATTTTCAAGAGGTTGCAGGCAAACAGCAAATTACATTACATCATCTTTGTCTTTTTGGCCATCTTACATGCCTTAGTTTGCTTACAGCTCTATGTTTATATAAAAAAATAAAAATAAAAATATCTTGTAGTTTGAATAGAGGGCAATTGTTCAAAGTCCAAACCATAATATAAGGGGTGATGTGGATTGGATTCATATGGTCTTCTAGTAAGAGCAAAGAGGACAAATTGGGATGTAACTTCATTGAGGGTTAATCAATGATAGCTTGGTGATGGAGAAGGTTTTGTTTTTATTTGGTAAAGTATATGGTGAAGTGGAAATAGACCATGACTTTCTTTTCAAATACAGCTAAGAAAACCATTCTCAGGCAAAGACAACCTAGGAGAAAGCTGATAGATTCTATGAACCTCATCTTAATTCATAGATTAACATGGCTTCATAATTTTTAATGTAATCTGCTCTGCTGTAGAATTCTTTTCTATCGCGACCTTTCAATCCTTTGTTAAACGTTGATGCAAGTGGATTTCACAATAGCGTCTGACTAGCCTTCGGATGATTGCAGAAGTTACAATGAGACAACAATTTTGGCCAAACGTCCACAATTTCATCTTATTTTATTCTTTTTGGGTTTTCTATCTCCCTTTTGGGTTTCTTCAGGAGGGTAGATGTGCTTTTCAGCTTGACATTGGATACGATCCTATAAATGCCTAGAAGCCTAGGTGTGGTTATTAATAATACAAACCAAGTCTTGCTTAGGTTCTAGGCATACCTTTCATGGCAGGTAATGGTGGGGGAACTCGATCATTACTTACCCAAAAGCTTTTAAGAATTTATAGAACTTCGAAATAGGAATTCATTATCTGGGCTTCAATTATGTCACAAATATCAAAACAAAAAGTGAAGACAATGAAGATAAGGAAATGCAAAACCCACCAGTAAAAAGAGATATAGGGTATGCCAGCTAGTCTGCAAATTGCAATGCTATAACTTTAGAAAAGTGTTCATCAGGAAATGAAAGCAGCCAATGGCATTGTCTATTCTTTGTACAGCACATTTTGTAGCATGACACTGGATGGAATATTGATCAATGAAAATTGATAAATTCCTTAAACATTGCAAAATTTATGATGGTTACAGTAAATCTAAAACATCAGTTACATTTTTACAGAGGAAAAATAAGAGCACTTTGTTTTGATCAATTATGAAATTTGCCTTCATCATCGGAGGTGGGCAAACCTTTGAGCACATCTCTTAATGCATAGTAATGGCTAACACACCTGTGGTCTGTTATTATGTTGCTTGAGAGCACAATCCTCTGAAAATGTTCACCTGGATGCCTCTTCCAAAGTGTAAAATACTCCCTGCTGCTGCTGCTGCCTGTTTGAGCATCCACATTCCTCTTTAGGTAGTAAACAGTGCCGGGTACAAATAACTCCTCAGGCACTTTACAGGCAGCTCCTCCATTCTCAATAGCAACAGCATTATCTCTTACTTCTCCGTCATTTACAGGGACCCTGGAAGCCATAGGCATTTTCTTTATGACAGGACCATCTGTTCAGACAGCAAAAGATAATTTGGTGAAGGGAAGATCATCGGGTGTCAAGCTTAAATTTATGACAAATACAGGTATAATTCAAAATTTTCCTTTCATATGACGACCCATCTGTTGAGGTTTGACAAAACCACAAGCGTGGCTGCATTGATGGTACAACAAAAATCCAGACAGTTCCATGATCCCAACAAAAAGAAACAACCTTCCCACCAACTACCATCAAGTTGATAACAATGAGAAATTTCCAGTGCATCCACACCCTTACTCCTCCAACGCATTGTAAAGCATGCACATACATTCACAAATGCACCAATGCATCATGCATACATACAGAAACACAGATAAGCCAACAATTACAAAATTGAAGACAAAAAAAATGCAACCTGAGATTATTTTTAAGTATCAAATCCACACATCAACTTTTACAGGATTAAATCTGGTCAACGACAGTAAAAATAAGGTAGTGATTTTCCCACTCCCCTTTTGTCTACTTCAACTCCCTTTTGTTTTTTAATACTTTTTACTAAAACAAAAAAGAGAGTGTAAGTGGACAAAAGAGGAGTGAGAACATACAATTTCTAACAAAGGGAGTGTAAGTAGACAAAAGAGAAGTGGGAAAATCAGCTCCCTAAAAATATATATATCACGTTTGTCACAAAATAAATGTCAGTAGGCAGCAAGGTCTAGACAATTGATAAGACAATAGCATTGGCGCATTCGGTAAAGAGCAAAGTGGGATTACCTGAAGCATTTTTGCTGCTCCCAAATTTTGCATAATCAGAGAGTTTCCGAGCAACATCTTGCACCGAAGACACAACCTGCTTTGCATTTGTAACCAAATCTATGACACTTCTCCAGTCTTCCTTCTCAACCACACTCATCCTGCAAAACATAACATAGAAACAAATAAGGGTGAAGTTTGATATTTTGATAAGCCTTTGCAGTTGACATCAAATTGCCATTGGTGCACAAAAATTGATGCTCACAACCGAAGTGACTTTTTCATACTAAGAGTAAGAGGTGATGAATGATGCTTCAAATTAACATAAATAATTTAAACTTTTTGTTCAATTTGGGCCCACATTTATTCATGCCCAAATCCTTTGTTTTTCCACAACAATCCAAGAAAGAGGAAAGCCTTAGACATGAACTAAAATAAGCACATAAATTTTTTAATTCCAAGTGGAAAAGGCTTACCATAGACCTGACCAAAGAGAAGTGTTCAGGCAAAGTCTTTTCCAGCAAAAGAATTGAAAGTCTTATGCTTACAGAATCACAAAAGATTCCATAGATTTCCAAATTTCCACACAGCATGAATCACAATATGCAAGTTCAAGATCCTGAGTATTTGAACTCTGGAAACTTAGAAATTAAATGCTACACAATAACTAGTGCAACATTTGCTTTCTTAATCAGTTGGCACATGAAGAAATTTGGTCCTCCAACGAAACGACTAGTGTGCTTATTTTTCTCAACCTTTCTTGAAAGAGTGGTGACAGTGACACGGGCCTCTGAAGAGGCAAATTTACTTACCAATCGGTTTGAAGAATTTCACTCCTCAACCTCGTTAGAGATGCCACACTTAGCCTAGGTATAATATCATCCTGCATAAAAAGATGATGTAACAATTTGAGAAGGGAAAAATACAAATAAACCAAAGAAATTTAACAGCCAACGGGTATATATAATTAGAGAAGTGCTTCTTCTAACTAGTAAATAATCAAATGCATCTTCCCACCTGCATCACAACAGTTGTGACATAACTGGAGCAGCTTTCAGCAAGTTCTTTGGAGACACAAGGTGGCGTTGCATACCCCACCGCAGAGACAATCTCCGGGTTGAACCCCAGCTCCTTAGCTGACTTTTTACGGAGCATTATTGCTAGTAGAGCAGCTGTAGCACCTCCAAGCGAATGACCCACCAGCCTAAACTTAAATCCCTGTTAATGAATTGGGCTCAACTACAACCAACAATGACAACAAACTCTGGTTGGGGAAAAAAAGCATAAAATCCTTTGAACAAGAAGAACAAAGAAACGAAAGAGAGAAAAGATTCGCCACCTCATATTTCTCCAAGCACTTCCTTATATTTCCCATCTCGTGACTAAGAAACCAGCGAGCAGCTTCTGCAGTGCCAAAGTGGGTTGAATAACCCTCAAATGTGACTTCACCATCGCTCGAAGAAACAACATCAGTTATAAGGTCATATACAGTATGAGTACCACGGATTCCTAGAATCACAAGTTTTTTACGAGGGTCAATCCCTATATAATATCCAGGCCTCATCACACTGGAATTTTTGACAAATTTCAAGACGTTGCTTTCTCGAAGCATGGTGTTCCTTGCAAGAGCTGCAGTAGTATCCTTATAAGAACCCTTTGCTAACTCAGAGTGGTAGATGAGATCTCGTACCTAAAACACAAAACCAATGCCAAATAATACCTAATAAGAACCGCCGGTTTAGCAGACTAAAACTTGACACACAACATAATGTGTTTATACAGAGTAATAGTAAAGTATGAGAACATTATCATAATTAAAAAAAGGTTTGGTATTGGCATTACCATTGAATTTGAGGAGATCTGAACACCATTAACATCCTCAAATGGATTTACAGAAGCTTGTCGAAGATAAATAAGAAACAAACCAATGGTGAGATCACTCAAACTCCAATCCTGAATTCCTGTCTTACTGCGTTGGATGCTTGCAATGATCTCCGAGACTGATCGAGTGCTGGGTGGGGGTTTCTCTCCCACTCCATTTCCTGCAATTTTCAGAACTGAATAATCTTCATGCAAAACTCAAACTGCAACTTCCAAATTACCAAATTCATTCAAAATCCATGACCACCCCAAACATGATAATCAAAACAGGAAACACACCTGTTGAGCTTGGCAGAGCCCACCTGCACAGTTGAAGAGCTGATTCGAGAGCTCTGGGGAGCCAAGCAAGCTCCAACCCTTTCCACTTACTATCGATTAAATCATCGTCGTCACTAGAGTAGTTACCAATGGCATCAGGTTTGGGCCTTAGAGGAGCTTGAGGAGGAGCAGCAGCTTTCGTTTCTTTGAGTGCCTCTGGCTCTACCTTGTCTACTTTCGAGCGTAGCGATTGAAACCGATTCACATAGCTATATATAAACCTCTGATACAATTCCTCTTTCTTTAGAAATCTTTGCGTAAAATCTACACAGAAATCAACCAAAAACAGAAAAACAAAAATTCAATCTCTGCATTTCGAGAAGAGTACAGGAACAAAGAAAAGTGCTTTAGTGCCTGGTGCTTACACAAATGGTTGAACAGATTCTTGGAGAAATTCTTAGCCATTTCCATAACAGAGAGAAAGAGATGGAGAGGAGGAGGCTATGAGATCTTAAGGCGGTTGACGTAGGCGGTGGCCGTGGAGGCGCATTGTACGGAAACACAAGACGAAAGTGGTTGAGTCAGTTGGTTTTGGTCTTTTCCGGTTAAGACAAATGTGGGTTGGGCCGGTTCAAGAAAATTGTCAGCCCATATAGAGATCAGAGGCTCTTCTTCAAATGTTGCCCTAAAGGCCTGAGCTTTCACTATAAATATCCAATCTTTAGGGTTTCTGTGGCATTACGATTTCAAAATATGAAGGTTGAAACAAGTAGCCGCTCTGGTTCTGTAAAGCCCTTTTCTTTTTCTCTGCTTAAAGCTTAAAAAGCTTTTTGTGTGTGTGATTTTTTATGTGAAAGTGGGAGATTGAGATGAGGATTAGATTTCGTATCCCTATTGGTTTGAACGCCGTGATGATGGCGAAACTATGTATTAGCTCTATCTGATCCTTCTTCCCACACCAGAAAATTATGCTATTTGCTTCGACAAATTGGTTTTTTTGTTTGTTTTGGATTTTTTCGTTTTCAAATTGAACATAGCTTAGATCTTTTAATATCTTCAATCTGTTTGAGAATTTGGGAATTGAGAATTGAGAGGATTGAGAATGAGATGATGATTGAACTTTGTTTCCCTATTGGTTTGATTGCCGTCATGATGGCATCTATGTATTAGCTCTATCTGATCATTCTCAGTCACTCTTTCTTCTCTCAAATAAATTTTCTGTTCTTCATTTGCATCAATGGTAAAGCTCTGTTAAATTTACCTCTAATGGCTAAGCCTAAGAGCATGTCTAGCCTGGCACTTTTGGCCAGGCCATGGCTGGTTTTAGCCCAAAATGGTCAAATTGGGATTTTATGGGTGTGATTCGGCTTAGCCCTCAACGGTCACCTGGGTGAGTCATTCTATAGTGAGGGCGTGTAAGAAATAATCCTCGTAAAATATGAAAAGGAAAAAAATACGAAAAAAATATGTACATGTTTTATTCGGCAAAATCTTAATAAATTACAATTTAAAAGTTTGACCGCTATATTATATTTTAATATAATTTATTTACATTTTTAAATATATACTATTTTTATTCAATAATATGTGAGAATCATGTGTATAATACGTGAATTTTATGTGTTTTATTGAAAATTTGCTAAAAATATGTGTATTAAACTTTAAAAATATGTATGTACATGTATTACAATTTAAAAGTTTGACCATTATATTATATTTTAATATAATTTATTTACATTTTTAAATATATACTATTTTTATTCAATAATATATAAGAATCATGTGTATAATACGTGAATTTTATGTGTTTTATTGAAAATTTGCTAAAAATATGTGTATTAAACTTTAAAAATATGTATGTACATGTATGATACGAGTATTGTATGTTTGCTTTTTTTTTAAAAGTGAATTTTACCGAGTCTTTAGAACGTGTACAGAACACGGATGTATTATTGAAAAATACATACACAAATATATAATACAATATTAAACATGAAAGTGTTAAATTCTTTATACAGGTAATAACTCTAAAAAAATAAAAAAAATAAAAGGAACAATAGAGGCACGAGTAATGGCCTAATAGTAATGGATGATGCTATAAACTACTCTTATCGATAAACGAAAATCAATACATATATATAGTATAGCTTTTCGGCTAAACTATTTATTAAAAATAAATAAAACAAAAAAATCTAGTATAGCCGAGCGGCTATACTATTTTTAAAAAAATTGGAAAAACCCAGTATAGCCGCCCGGCTATACTATTTAAAAAAAGGCCTTCACAGAGGGATTAGGGGCGACGTGTCAACAACAGTATAGCCGAACGGCTGTACTATTTTTGGAAAAAATTAAAAACCGAGTACAGCCGAACGGCTATACTATTTTTGCAAAACATTTTGTTTCGGCTAAACTATTTATTAAAAATAAATAAAACAAAAAAATCCAGTATAGCCGAGCGGCTATACTATTTTAAAAAAAAATTGGAAAAACCAAGTATAGCCGACCGGCTATACTATTTTAAAAAAGGGGCGACGTGTCAACAACAGTATAGCCGAACGGCTGTACTATTTTTGGAAAAAATTAAAAACCGAGTACAGCCGACCGGCTATACTATTTTTGCAAAACATTTTGGGGACCACCTAGCTTCTAGGTGCCCACGTGTCCAAAACAATATAGCCGCACGGCTATACCATTTTTGCGAAAAACATTTAAAAACCAAGTATAGCCGAACAACCTCTACCGACGAAATTTCGTCGGTACAAGTCCATAGACCTCTCCCGACGAAATTACCTCTACTGACGAACTTTCGTCGCAAGAAACCTAATCCGACAAAGCCAGCATAGACCTATGCCGACGAAATTTCGTCGGGAGAGGAATTAAAAATAAATAAATATAAACTTAGTATCTTTAGGTCAATAAATTTTTATTTTTTTAAAATTTCTTTTCAGTAATTAATTTAATTACTTTCATTAGTAATTATTTTATAACTATTATTTCTCTAGCGAATAATTAGTATTAAATGTTTTAATTAACAACATAAATGATATTACTTAATAAATAGTATTTAGACTAGTCTAGAGCATTATCCATTACGTTTAGGCTATTACCAAGGTATAGCTATTGTCCCCTTTTGAATTTGTACTTTTCCAGAGTTATTACCCGTACAAAGAATTTAGCATTTTCCCATTTAATACTCGTATTATACATGTACGTATGTATTTTTCAAATAATACTTATGTTTTTCGTATGCGTAGTCAAGACTCGGTATAATGAAAGCAAACATATAATACACATATTGTACACATACGCACGTATTTTAATGATCAAAGAACAAAAAACAAAGTCCACAATATGATTCAAAAAACAATTAATTACTATTTACCAAGTAATTTACGAAATCAGTAAAATATTTAAATTTCGCTACAGAAATAATAATTAAAACATAATTACTAGTTAAAGTAATTTTTTTAAAAAAAGGCTAAGGTATTACTTAATTACATGCATTAAATTAAAGAAGTTGGCCAGAAAATAAAAGTGAAGAAACTAATTTTATATTTTTATTATTATAAAAAAAAAAAACAAGCCGAACAA